GAGAGTGATACAGGATTGGGATTTGGAAAGATGTGAGTGGTTATAGAATAAAGGAAGAGATATGAGAGAGTAGAGAATAGTATCAAGGTGAACTGGTTAACTGAATAAGAGATGAGGAAGGGAGGTAAGTGAAGCCAGAGTAGGAGTCATGGCCTGGGAAAGTCTTGAGGGTTAGAGAGATTGGAGGTCATGTTGAAGATTAAGCTAGTAAGATTGCATTTAATACTAAAGCATAGGGAATGAGGTAATGATTGGAGATTATGATCAGAAATACTCATTGTTCTAAGAAAGATGGAGACCAGCAGACCCTTAACTAGGAATTTTTGTGCCTGGACATGTGGCCTGAAAATTATCTTCATATGGTGAGCAGGCTGGATTGGGGGAAGAATTTAACAGAATGTGTGCCATCTGGTAGCACTTTATTTTTACAAATTTTTCTTAACTAACTAGGTTTTAAGCTCTGATGTTTCTGAAATGCTGTCAGTACCCTATAAATTTGGACCCAAGGAGAAAGTGTCTGTGGCCCTTTCCTGGTTCTAATTCTGATGATAAGGATGTTTCTAAACCTAAGTTTTATGGCAAATGTAGAATGGAGGCCAAACAGAATAATTGAGAAGGAGAAACTAAATAGTTCTGTGATCCTGCTCTTGTCCTAACACATTAATCTTTACTCAAACTAGGCAGGTAGGTGGCACAGTGGATAGAGACCTGTGTCTGGAGTCAGGAAGACTTAAGTTCAAATTCAGCCTTAGACACTTACTAGCTGTATGACCCTGGGCAAATCAATCTCTCTCAGTCTCAGTTTCCTCAACTATAAACAAGAGGATAATAATAGTGTCTACTTGGCAGGGTTGTTGTGATAATGAAATATTAATAAAAACACTTAGTACAGTGTCTGACATATAGTGCATGTATATAAGGGCTTATTTTCTTCCTTTCCCCTGAACTGATCAAGAGTTCTGGCATATGGGAGCATGGAAAGGCATTCTTGAGGGCAGAGCCAAGAAAGCAGATTAGAGGCATTAGCCCAGCTGAACTCTCTCAACATTCCCCTCCAAACAATCATAAAATAATGCCTCAAATCAAATTTTGGAGGGGCAGAGCCCATAAAAAGTCAGGGAGAGACATTTTTCCAGCCTTAGAAAATATACAAGGTGCACAGGACAGGTCACATGTTGTGGCTGGAACAGTAGCTACAGCAGCAGCAGCTTTGAGAACTCTTAAGCGCCAAGACAATAAGGGGGGGGGTCACACAACTGGTCAGAAAGAGATTCCAGGGGACTAGTTGCTGGCATTGGGTACAGCTGGCACTGATGATGCCCACACTTAATTCTTGGTTGCAGTTCCAGAGCAGAGAGGAACACTTGTGGTCAGTCATAAGGTAGTAGGAGCCCTGGTCACAGTTCCAGGGTCAAGAGGGGTGCTAGTGCTTGCAGCTTCAGGAAAAAGGGGGCCCTTCATGTGTAAAGACCAGAGCACAGACCAGGAGAGCATAGACCATGCCTTTCCACCTATTATAGCACTTTGGAAGCACTGAAAACTTGTAGATTCCCAGAACTAGTTCTGAAAACAACAGCACAAAAAGCCCGAGGCTTGGCACAGTGGCTGCCCACCCCTAGGTGAGCAGAACCCAACTTTAACATAAAATTTAAAGTGAAGAAATAGTCTGGAAAAGAGCAAACAACAAAAAAAGAACTTGATCATAAAAAACCTCTACAGTGGTAGAGAAGACTAGGTCAAACTCAGAGAAGACAATAAGGCAAAAACAGCTACAACTAAATCCTCAAAGAAAAGTGTTAATTGAGCACAAATGAAACAAGAATTTCAGGAAGTGTTAAAGAAGAAGATAAGAGTGTAGAGGAAAAATAAACAAGAGCGAGGCAAGAAAATTATGAAAAGAGAATTAACAGCTTGATTAAAGAGACACAAAAACATTGAAGAAAATAACACTTTAAAAACAGAATTGACCTGATGGTAAAAGAGGCACAAAAATTCACTAAAGGAATTCATCAAATTCCTTAAAAAGCAGAATTGGCCAAATGGAAAAAGAGGTACAAAAGTTCATGAAGAAAACAATTCCTTAAAAATTAGAATTGGGCAAGTGGAAGATAAAGACTCCATGAGACATCAAGAAACAATAAAACAAAATTTAAAAAATGAAAAAAATAGAAGAAAATGTGAAATACTTCATCAGAAACACAACTAACCTGAAAAATAGATTGAAAAATGAAAATTTAGAATTTTTGGACTACCAGGAAGCTATGATCAAAAAAAGAACCTAGACATCATATTTCAAGAAATTATCAAGGAAAACTGCCTTGATATCTCAGATCCAGAGGTAAAATAGAAATAGAAAGAATGCACCAATCACCTCCTGAAAGAGATTTCAAAATGAAAACTCCCAGGAATGTTATAGCTAAATTCTAGAGCTCCCAGGTCAAGAAGAAAATATTACAAACAGCCAGGAAGAAACAATTCAAATGTTGTAGAGCCACAGTCAGTATAGCATAAGATTTAGTAGCTTCTACCTTAATGGATTGAAGGGCTTGGAATGTGATATTCCAGAGTGCAAAGGAGCTAGGATTACACCAAGAATCACCTACCCAGCAATACTGAGTATAATCCTTTAGGAGACAAAAAAGAATATTTAATGAAGTAGAGGAGTTTCAAGCATTCCAGATGAAAAGAACAGAGCTGGATATTTGACATTCAAACACAAGACACAAGAAAAGTACAAAAAGGTAAACATGAAAGAGGAATCATAAGAGTCTCAATAAGGTTAAACTGTTTACAATCCTATATGAGAAGTTGATTCACATAACTCCTAAGAACTTTATCATTATTAGGGTAGTTAAAAGGAGTTTACATAGGCAGAAGACATGGGTTTAATTATGTTGGAATGATCTCCAGAAGAAAAAAAAGAAAAAAGAAAGAGTGAAAAGGAAGGATGCACTAGGAGAAGGAGAAAGGGAGAGGTAGAATGAGGAAAATTTTCTCACATAAAAAAGGTATGCAAGGAAGAGTTTTTACAGTGAAGGCAAAAATGAGGGACAGTGGCAGGCAATACTTAAACCTCACTTTCATTGGAGTTGGTTCAAAGAGGGAAGAATATATATATATATATATATATATACATATATATATATGTATATATATATATGTGTGTGTGTGTGTGTGTGTGTGTGTGTGTATGTATGTATATACATCTATATACATACATGCATATGCACACGTTCAATTGTGTATAGAAATCTATCTTACCCAAAAGAGAAATTGGAGTGGAAGGGAATAAAAGAAAAGGGGGGATGATCAAAGGGAGGGTGAATTAAGGGAGGCAGGGGTTAGAAGCAAAATAGCCTTTTGAGGAGGGATAAGATGAAAAGAGAGAAGGAAGACTACACAGAAGAAAATGGGATAGAGGCAAATACACAGTTAGCAGTCATAACTGTGAATGCAAATAGGATGAGCTCACCCACAAAATGGGAGCAGATAGCAGAATGGATTAGAAACCAGAATCCAACAATATGTTGTTTAGAAGAGATACACTTGAAACAGAAAGACACACAAAGTTAGAATAAAGAACTGGAACAGTATCTAATAACTTCAGCTGGAGTAAAAAAGGCAAGGATAGCAATTATGCTCTCAGACAAAGCAAAAGCAAAAATAGATTTAAAGTGATAATGAGGGAAATTACATTTTGCTGAAAGGCACCATAGACAATGAAGTAATATAAAATTTTCTTTTGCAGAAGTTTCTTTGATAAAAGCCTCATTTCTCAATATATTGAGAACTGAGTCAAATCGATAAAAATAAGGGCCATTCACCAATTGATAAATAGTCAAATGATATGAACAGGCCATTTTCAGAAGAAGAAATCAAAAGTATTTATAGTCATATAAAGCTATTCTATTGATTAGAGAAATGCAAATTAAAACAACTTTGAGGTACCACCTCATATTTATCAGAAATGACAAATGCTGGAGGGGATGAGGGAAAATTACACTAATGAACTGTTGGTGGAATAGTAAACTGGTCCAACCATTCTGGGGAACAATTTGAAACTATGCCCAAAGCATTATAAAACTGTCCATACCCATTCTTCCAGCAAAACCACTACTAGGTGTGTAACCCAAAGAGATCAAAGAAAAAGGAAAAGGACCTATACAGAATGTTCAAAGATATTTATAGCAGCTCTTTCTTGTGGTGGTGAAGAATTTGAAATCAAGGGGATGCTTATCAATTGGGAAATGGCTGAGCAAGCTGTGGCATATGATTGTGATAGAATACTCTTATGCTATAAGAAACGATGAGTAGGATAGTTTCAGAAAAATATGCCAAGACTTATATGAATTGATACAAAGTGAAGAGAGAATAACCAGGAGATCCTTGTGCATAGTAACAGCAATGTTGTAATGATGATCAACTGTGAAAGACTTGGCTACTCTGATCAACACAGTGATCCAAGATAATTCTAAAGGACTCATAATGGAAAAATGCTATCCACCTCCAGAGAGAAAACTGAGAACTCTGAAGGCAAATTGAAGTAAAATGTTCTCACTTTTTTGGCTTTGTTTTGCAATATGGCTAATATAGAAATACATTTTGCATGATTTCACATGTATAGTTGATATTATATTGCAGCCCTCTCAGTGCGTGAGGGAGGGGGTAAGAGAGAGAAAGAGAATTTGGAACACAAAATTTAAAAAGAAAAGAATGTTAAAATAAATAACAAATTTTAGACAAGGAAACCAGATGAATTCTGGCATATAAAAACCTATCTTTTTAAGGCCCATCCTATGCTCCTACTGCTCTACACATTGCTCTGACCATGGGAAGAAGAAAGGAAACCATTTATGAAGCAGCTACTATATGCAAATACTGTGCTAAGCTTTTTACAAATATTATTTCATTGAATCTTTTAGCTCATATAGTACTGAATCTTTTAGCTGCCTTGCCCACTTCCATGAATATATTGCCTATGACCTGTGGTTCATACCCACCTGAATGTGCTGGAAACTCAGAAGAACAGAAAAAGAGGAGGATTCAGATTGCTGAGGTCCTATAGCAGTGCTGACTACTTGGGAGTTCAGGTAGATTCCATAACTCTTCTTCCCATGGTTCTCCTCAAAAAAGGATGCATTTATAATGGTTCCAAGGGAAAAATAGGAGACGAAAGCAACTGCACTTGGACCTAAAAAAAAAGGAAAGGAAAGGAAAAAAGAGTAAAGTCCTCCAAGGCAAAAGGTCTTATTCAATCCCATGTTTCCTCAGCAAGTTAGTTTCCTGGAGGTGCATTCTGTCCACTCAATCACTCAATCAATATGCATTTATTAAAGACTTACTTAATGTGATAGCCACTGTGCTAAGCACAAGGGATAAAAAGAAATGAAACAAACAGTCCCTGACCTCAAGCAGTTTATATTTTAATGGGTGAGTACACATATATAAATCAAAATATACAAGATAAATACAGAGTACAGATATGGATAATACATAATACAGATAACCTTAGAGATGTTGACACTAGCAGGTGTGTGTGTGTGTGTGTGTGTGTGTGTGTGTGTGTGTGAGATAACTAGGTAGGTCTTCCTGGAGGATGTGGTGTTTAGGCTGAATTTTAAAGGACATCAGGGATTCTAAGAGTTAGAGGTAAGGAGGGAGAACATTCCAGGCATGGGGAACAGCTAATGAATGGCATGCATGGAGTATAAAAGATGGAGTGTCACGTATAAGGAACAGCAAGGAACCCAGTATGGCTGGATTATAGAGAGCCTGAAGAGGAATAGAATGTAAGAATAATGGAAAGGTAGGAAGAGGCCAGATTATAAAGAGTTTTAAATGCCGAAAAAAGAGATTTATATTTGGTCCTGAAGGTAGTAGAAAATCATGGGGTTTAATGAGAAAGGAGATGATATGATCAGACTTCTACATTAGGAAAATTACTTTGTTATCTGAGTACAGGTTGGACTGGTGCTGAAGGCTGATATTCAGGTGATGTGGAAAGAAGATGTGTGAGAGAGAAGGTTGTGAAGGTAGAAATGATGGGCTTTGGGAACTGATTGGACATGCCAGATGAGTAAGAGAGAGGAGCTGAAGATGACATAGAGGTTGAGAAGTTGGGTGACTGGGAGGATGGTGGTTCTCTTGACAGTAAAAAGGATGCTCTTAGTAAGCAAAGGTTTAGAGAAAAAGATAATAGGTTCTGTTTTGGACATATTGAATTTGAGATGCTTATAGGACATCTAGTCTGAAATGTCTGACAGGAACTTGGTAATGTGAAGAGAGAGAGGCTAGGAATATACAAACAGATCTGGGAATCATCTACCGAGGCAGATGATACTTGAATGCATAGTAATTGATAAGATCACAAAATGAGAATAAAATAGAACTAAAAGAGAAGAGGATCCCGGACATAACCTAAAAAAGTTCATGTAGGTGACATGGTTGAAGACAGAACAAAAGAGACATCCAAAGAGCAGTCAGACAAGAAGGAGAACTAGGAGAAAGCAGCATCACGGAAACTCAGAGAAGAGACAGTATCTAGGAGGAGCAGGGTCCACTGTGTCAAAGAGGTCAAAGAATGAAGATCAAGTAGGGGCCATTAGAGTTGGCAATTAAGAGATCTCTGGCCATTTCGTAGAGAGAAGAACTTTGACATGACAAGGTTGAAAGTCAGATCACAGAGGTCTCAAAGCAACTGAGGAAGTGGAGGCACTGAGTGTTGACAGTTTTTTTCAAGGGGTTTCATGGCCTTATTTTTTTTTCAGTAAAGTATGAGACAAATTCCTCAGCAGAGAAAGAAGTAGTTTGAGAAGCTTGAGGGAGAAACAGGTTTTGAATACGGATAAGTAGCTAGGGAGCCAATTAAAGAGTCCTGCCTTGGTGGAGTGAAGGCCCAGGAGAAATTGTCTAGCACAATTTTATAGTCCACAATGATTTGTGATTTCCTCCAGCTCTAATCAGCAGCATTTGAATTAGAGCAAAGGAGGCAGGTGGGGAATAATTGAGTGTTGAGGCTTACCAAAACATGATTAATGATAGGATAGGGAAGCAATTGATTCAAGAGTAGAGAATAGAATAGTTGAACTGGTTCACTTGAGGGAGCCAAGACTGGAGAAGGGGGAGGTCTAACTGGAATAGGGGTGATGGCCTGGAATTGTGCTAAGGGATGGAAGGATTGGAGGTCATCATGAGAACACAGAAAAGGTTTAGGGGGAGAGAGGCATGGGGAATGATGAAAAGATAAGAGATTATGATAAAAATCCAGAGGTTTTGAACATGGAGGCAACCTTTTTGTAGGTGGCGGCAAGATCACGGGTCCAACTAATCCTGTGGGTAGCAGAAGTGGAACTGCAGAGTTGGCTGTGGGAGTTGAGTTGTGAAATTTCAGAATGGGGAAGTTAGGATATTTGAAGGAACATCAGAATATATGTTGCAGTCTCCTAAAATGAAAGGAAGAACATGAGGTGGAAAGGGAGACTGTCAACTTGGCACCAAACTCAATGAGAAAGGGAGGCTCTCTTGGGAGTCAGTAGATTATAGCTATCAGAATCTGGATTAGATGATAAGATCTGGATTGCATGAAACTCAGAGGAGAGGTTGCTGAGTGATGATGGTAAAGGAAGAGTCCAGATGTAATGGGAAGCAGAGAATATTAGGACTCTCCCATCATGGCCATTGAGTCAGAGCATATGAGTGAAAGCAACCATTGCTGGAAAGGGTGGTCAGGGAATCTGGAGTGAACCAGGTCTCCATGAGTTGCCAAAGATGAAAAGAACAAGAAGGGGAGAAAGGAGATGTTTAAGATGAAACCACTTCTGTTAATTGTGGAACAGACCTTTCGGCAGGCACAGTAGAAAAGTGGGAGTTTATGGAGTGAAATATTGGGGATAGAGTTGAGAGGACGGGAGTGAGAAGGCTAAGCTTGGGGCTTTGTTGTCCAGCACTTGTGGCTGAGAGTCTGGAAGGCACTTGAAATGCCTCTACTTTCTCATTTGCTTTCAAACCTCTGTGATCTGGCTTCCAATCTTGTTGTTCAACTGAAGTTGCTGTCTCTCCAAAATGACAAATGATCTCTTAATTCTCAATCTACTGGCCTCTTCTCGATCCTCATACTTCTTGACCTTTGCTGGATCTGACACAGTTGACTACCTTCTCCTCCTGGATACTATCTCTTCTCCGAGTTATCATGATGCTGCTTTCTTCTGGTTCTGCTCCTTCTTGTCTGACTGCTCCTTCACAGTCTCTTTTGTTCTATCTTCAGCCATGTCGTATACATTCATTCACTCTGAGAGTCTGAGAGGTCAAGTTAAGAGGCCCATAAGCCTCTTGAAGGGGGTGGCAAGATCACGGGTCCAACTAATCCTGTGGGTAGCAGAAATGGAACTTCAGAATTGGTTGTGGGAGTTGAGTTGTGAGGAGTTGTGAAATTTCAGAATTGGGAAGTTAGGACATTTGAAGGAACATCAAAAGGTTTAAAGAGGGCCAGGGAAGCTAGAAGTAGGGATGAGGAGGTAGAGCATTCCAGGCATGGAGGACAACCAGGGAAAATGCTCAAAGTGGAAAGATGGAGTTTGTTGTGTGAGGAACAACGAGGAGGCCAATGTCACTGGTGGGGTATAAGGTGTGAGAAGACTGGAAAAGTTGGTGGTAGGGTAGAGGTTATGAAGGGCTTTGATTGTCAGAGAGTTTTACACTTCATTCTAGAGGTCATAGGGAGCCATTGGAGTTTACTGAGAAAGGGGGTGGGACATGACATGGCTAGGCTTGCCTTTTAGGAAGATCGCTTTGGCTTAAACCCATGTCTTCCTGACTTCAAGGCCAGATCTCTATCTACTATACCACATTGTCTTTCACTGATTTGTGAATAGTAGGCACTTAATAAATGCCAGTTGACTTAAATCTGAGTTTAACAGTTAATAAAGGGCAGCTAGGTAGAGCACCTGGAGTACCAGGTCTGGCATCAGGAAGACCTGACTTAAAATCTGGCCTCAGACACTTACTAGCTGTGTGACTCTGGGCAAGTCACTTTACTGTTTGCTTCAGCTTCCTCATCTGTGAAATGAGCTGGAGAAGGAAATGGTAAACCACTCCAGTCTTTGCAAGAAAACTCCAAAAGGGATCAAGAAGAGTCAGACAGTACTGAAAACTACTAAATGACAAAGTAACAGTTAACAAAGCTTCCTCAGAAGCCCCTCCTTCTACAGTGACCGTGGGCAAATCACGGAACCTTTCAGCACTCCAATTCCAGATGAGTTACTGATCTGCATTGGTGGGAGCTCCCCACGCTGATGAAACTGTAGATCCGGACAGCAACAGAACAATAGTTTAGCTTTCAGCAATCTAGTAAAATTTGTAAAAAAAAAAAGATTAGGCTAATGGTATTTGTAATGGTATTTGCCATTAGGACAGTTTGTCCTTGAAGGAAGATTTTGCTCACAAGGTATGCTATCCCGAAGTGGTGAGGGGTGGCCAGGGATGTAGCTTCCCCCATTGTAGCCCTCTAGACAGATACCTGATGATTATTTGCCATTGAGGTCTATGGCAGAAGGGATTTTTGTTTAGATAGTTACAGGTTGGTTGAGTCGGATACTTGAGGACTCTCTGACATTGAAGGATTGTGTGGCATTCCAGTCTGTTCTGGGTGAGTACAGAGTCCATAAAGTGAGTGTACCTTGAGTATCTGAGTGGATGATGTCCATGCAGGAAATTTCCACTGAGTTATTCTGAGCTTCCAGTCTAGAGTTCCCATTTTCCTGGGAGCAGTTGCTGATTACACGTGTTTCAAAAGCTGGGAAAAACAATGAAACAAATGAGCCCACTTGCATTGCTTCTTAGCCAAGAAGCCACCACTATATGAAGCATCCTAGCCCATTTCCTTGAATGAGCTACATCTGACCCCCGTGACGTTATGTGAGATGACAGCTGATTTTGTCTTCTTTTGGGACCACTGGCACTCAGGGGAAGGATTCAATTATCTGGGCCAATGGCAGGAGTGTCTGAATCGCATAGTTTCCTTGTCATTTAAATGTAGATTGTATGAGTCTGAGGGATCCACATCAGACATACATCTTAGTTGTGCTTTGGATAGTGACATTGCAGATGGTCAACCATAATTAAAGGTCAGCATTTTACTCAAGGACTAGCCTACCACCATTTCCCCATTTTTTTTCAATAGCGTGAGCTCCCTACTTTGATTTGAAGCTGACAAAGCTCTCAGTTGGAAGGAGGAGTAGACTCATACTGTTTGGAACCAGGAACAATGAAAGGGTGGAAGTTTTGCATTGGCTTGATATCAGGAAAGCCTTCCTAGAAGAACTCTCCAGAAGCACAAAGGGATGTCTCAGGAAGCAGTGCATTCCCTTTCATTGGAGGTCTTCTACAAAGGCTGGATGGTCAAAATATTTATCACTTGATCAGACAAGGTGATCCTAGCTTTTCTAAATTCAGCTGGGTGGGTCCCAGCAGAACTAGGAATTCTAACCCCTAGGGAAGATTAAGTCAAGGAAAGGTGGATTTATTTGTCCCTTCCCCATGAAAAGATTAGGCTGCCCATCACCTACACAGTTTAGCCTGACTCCCTGCAGTTTGGCTATGAATGCTGCCTGATTTCTGATCCTCGCCCTCAGCAGCAGGTGAGGCAGCTGGAGTAGGAGGAGGCAGGTAGGGAGGGGTACTACCATGAGGGAAGACATTCATCTTGGAGGGGTTGGGCAATGGAGTGAAGGTGATTTTGTTATATGGTATGAGTTGAAGGAAGCTGCCACTGGAAGGAAGTGCAGTCCTGAAAGTCAGCTACCTTTGCTCCAAATCTGTTCATCCATAGCTTGTCTTAAGAGCCCATCCATCCAACCAATCAATCAACAAAGACTTATGAAACACCTACTATGTGTTTGACAGACATTTGCCTAGACCCACTATTCTGCATGTGGGTCACTGAATGCTATACATTCACTATAACAACCTGATTAATTGACTTTTCTACTGGATTACTTGCTGTTTCATTGAGTGGACTGAATCCAATGGTTGTTGGGATCCTGAAGACACAGCTACCTTTTGTTATAATGGCCTTACCCAGAACAGAGTTGCTTTGCACCACCTGGATCTTAGGAGACCTGAGAGCATCCTCCAACACAGCCTGTTCTAGGCTCTGTAATAGTTCTGTCACATCACTTCCAATTCTTCTTTTTTTCTCAGCAGGCCAAGAGTCATGAATGGTAATAAGTGATTCAAGGTGGAAAGAAAGATTCTCCAGCTGATGAGAAAAAATGAATTATCTCATAAGGTTAGAACACCTGTCCAAGGCATTGCTCTGGGACCTGGGCTAAGCTAGGAGGAAGGATGCTAGATAGGAATGCTGACCTTAGAATCAGGAAGATTGAGTTCAAATCCTACCAATGATACTCAATGACTTTGTGACTAGAGGATGTCAAGCAATCTTTCTGAGCATTTTCCTTATCTGTAAAATGGATACAATACCATATGCCTTACAGGGTTGTCATGGAGCTGAGATGGGATAATGTATGCATAGCACCTTAGGAACCTCAAAATACTGTACAATTGTCAGCCATTATTAGATGTAGATGTCTGTGACATTTTACTGGACTCTCCACCTTGGGACCCTGACTCTCCTGTTCCTAACCCCATGTCATGTTTGCCTGATTCCCACTCTCTCCTTGAGCCTGTCTCATCTTTCTAGGATTCCATTTCTGTTCTCTGTCATCTCATTTATCTTCTTACTTAATTCTATTTCTTACACCCTTCCCTTGTCTCACCTTTAGCCGACTAGCATCCGGACTCCTCTCTTTGATTCTATCCCAAGAGAGGTAGCATGGTATGGTGGAAAGAACAGCACAGCTGGAGTCAGAGGACCTTGCCTCTGACACTTACTATCTATGTGACCTGGGGCAACTCATTTCACTTCCTTGGACTTCAGTTTCCTCATCAGTTAAATAAGCAGGTTGAACTAGATGATTTTTTTTTGGCAAGGCAATGGGATTAAGTGACTTACCTGGGTCACACAGCTAGTAAGTGTCAAGTGTCTGAGGCTGGATTTGAACTCAGGTCCTCCTGACTCTAGGGCCGGTGGTCTGTCCACTGTGCCACCTAGCTGCCCCATGAACTAGATGATTTCTGATGCTTCTTCTGGTTCTGAATCAATGATCTGTCTCAGTTTTACTTGATCTCGTTTACTATTCCCTTTATCTGACCCTCTCTCTCCTCTCTCCGGCCTCAACTAACTTCACTTGGTTCCTCTCTCACCGCTTGACTCCATCTTATTCATATTCAGCAACAACTTACTTTGCCGCTGCCTCCAGGGTTCCGGGGCATTGTAGGAAAGGAGACTTCTACAAGAGAGATGGGTAAGGCAGGACCATTAGGAACATGTGTTAAAATGCAGACCTTCTGCTAATCCCCCAAAGATTGTCTCGGGTTGACTTAAGATCATGCTGTTTTGCTTTCATTGGTAAGGTGCTTCTGGATTCTGGGGTTCTGTAGTTGCCTGGGGTGTTGGTGTGTAGCCCAGAAGGATACTCATTCACATCTGGGCTTTCAAAACCAGAAAGATCAAGGCCATTTGGGGAATGAGATGATGTTTTTGTCTCCCAAGTCAAAATTTTCCTCTACTAGCTGACTCCTGGAAAGTCTCCCTTCTTCCTCTAACTTCCCCATGACCAAGAAACAAGACCTCTCCCAAAAGTGCTTACAGTCTTTTCACTTCCATGGAGACGTGGGGACAATGTGTGCTCTGGGTGCATGGCCTGGGCTTTGTCTCAGAGCAATAATTATCAATTACATCTTGTTTGACATTTTACACTATGACATGATTTTTTATATCCTTTCTCTCGATTAACTCTACAACATCTTATGAGGCACACAGTTCACAGACTATTGCTCCCATCTTATAGTTGAGAAAACTGAGGTAGAGAGAGAAAGTGGCTCAACTCTCACTCATTTTCTTCTTAGAGAATCACAGAGATTCTCAGAGTTTTAAGAGATTTCAGAAGACATCTAGTCTGAGCCCATTTCTGAATTAGTATTTCTTCTATGACTTCCCTGACAACTGGTTGTCTATCCCCTGCTTGAAAATCTCTACTAAAATGTAACCCATGAAGCACAGATTGAAAATTAATTGGAAAATAAATAATCTAATCCTAAAGAATGAGTCGGTCAAAGAACAAATAAAAGAAATAATCAATAATTTCATTAAAGTTAATGACAACATTGAGACAACCTACCAAAGTTTGTGGAATGCAGCCAAAGCAATACTTAGAAAAAAAAATTACATCTCTAAACATTTACAACAGGAGAGAAGGAGAGGGAGAGGGAGAGAGAGAGAGAGAGAGAGAGAGAGAGAGAGAGAGAGAGACAGACAGACAGACAGACAGAGACAGAGAGAGACAGAGAGACAGAGAAAGACAGAGACAGAGACAGAGAGAGAAAGGGTAGATCAATGAATTGGGCATGCAACTTAAAAACAACAAATTTAGATCCCCAATTAAATGCTAAAATAGAAATCCTGAAAATCAAAGGAGAGATTAATAAAATTGAAAGCAAAAATACCATTGAATTAATGAATAAAACTAAGAGGTGGTTTTAGGTAAAAAAAGGCAAACCATTGATTAATTTGATTCAAAAAAGAAGAAAACCAAATTACCAAGCTCCTTCTTTGGAGGAGTAGTGTTGATGAATGATGATCACTGACTGTATGTGCACTGGGCTTTTATGCCTTATGCCTCTGAGAAGTTACATCAACAATTCATATTTTAATCTCCTGGATGAGTCAAGTCTGAAAAATCATTTCTTTCACTTAAGAAAGCTTAGCTATGCACAGTGAATTTCAAACTGCACAATAGGGACCGATGACATGATTTCCAACCAGATTGGTAGGGGTTATTGCTACTACTACACTTTGGGAGGTAGTGGTTGCCTTTCATTAAAGAGCTTCAAACAAAGATTGAATGACCATTTCCTGTGCTGAACCTCCCTTTGCTGTCCATGGCCTGATCTCTTCACCTGATTCTTTTTTTATCAAAGACTCAAGTGAAGGCATTTTTTTTTTTCAGGTGATGGGAGCTGGAAAGGATAGTTAACATAATGGATGGCAGAGTCAAGGCCAACATTGAAGACAAGGCCAAATGATTGTCTCTTTTTGCCACTCATCCATTTGGGAATGACTCATATTCTTTTGTGTTTGGGGTTAATTTCCTATAAATTTTGGATATCAGATCATATTAGAGAGACTTGATTGAAAACAATATTTTCCCAAATAAGAGCATCCCAACTCATCCTAGTTATATTGCTTTAATTGGTGCTAAAGAACTTCAATTTCATGTAATTAAAATTATCTACATTATCTTTTGTTGCCAAATTCTATTCTTAATGGTCAAGTAATTTATTGAAAGAAGTTTAATGACTGGCAATTGTAAACAAGCCATTAAATTTCCTTATGATCCTCCTGCTTTCAATTTTCACTGTATGGTGGGGCTTGAGGAATAGAATCAGGAGAGGGATGGCAAATTCATAACTTGACAATATTGCTCCTCCAAGCAAATGGAGAAAATAGGGGCAGTGTCAGCATTTGATACCAACTCTCCCTGGTCTGACCATGGAAGGATCATGCTGGGGTTTCACAGGAGCAGCCAGCCCTCTTTGGTCTTACTCTGTTCCAGTACCCATGACAGTACCTTGTCCTTTCCTGATCACCTGGATCTCTGTATGACTACCACAAATCTTTGATTCTGCACCTGTTCCTTCTTTGCTGTGCATAGCACAGCTGCAACTTAAGAC